GCTTTCATGTCTGTCAGCAAACTGGATCTACCAGTAAAAGATTACAATCAGAATAAGGAACAGCTAAGCACAGGTGAGTTTACAGGTATGCAGAAGTGCAGATTCATGTTTGTAGTGCCAGGAGAGGCCCTGAGGATCAAACAATTCCACTGCTTAAAGAAGACGATAGATGATAAACAAACGAGGTCAACAGAGATTGTATGAGACGTTGTTTACATAAGCAGGTTATTAAAGGCTGCCAAAAAAAAGGTTATTAAAGTGCAAGTGAAGAGCCGGCGCTTGCACACGCAGAGTTTGACACACCTGAAACACACAGCAAGTTTATTGAGATGAAAAAGTAACAACAAAGAATGTAACATACATAAGCAAGTTTCTTAGTAAGAATAAACTTGTTACGTTTTTGTATGTTTATTTTAGGCGGTTAGTGAGATAGAGGAGTGTTTATCTGGAATGGAACACAAGGAGGGAAACAAGACGCAAGGGCTCACACAACATATATAAACACAGACACACACAGGGCAAAGACACAAGAGGGAATCTAATAATCAAGTGAGAAAACTCACAATAAAATACCTAAGATCATAAATGAACCTGAACATAAACCTGGAATTGTGGAACATCAAATGCTGTAGTGATGCGTCGGTTGCGAACGAAATGGCTCTTAGAGCCGGATCTTTGACGTGAATGACGCCGTTGGGGTTTTTTTCTTTCTCTCACCCTCTCTCTCGCACTTTGTTTCCGCTTCACTCCGCACGCGAGCCTTGTGCTTTGCGCTGGGAAGAGGGGGGAGGGGCGGTAGTTACACCCACAGTAGCACAGGAACAGAGCCAGAGGGAGAGAAAGAGAGAGAGAGAGAGCCAGGGACAACACCGTCACATTAGAAAGGTATAGAAATCTTCCACTATTTTCAGTTGCAGATGATAAAGGATTCAGAAAGTTTATTCATGCAGGTCCATATGACAGAGAATATGCATCTTCTTTTTCATATTTTAATTTATATTTAATGGTGTTGTGGTTTGCAGTGTTTTGTGTTGTTTCACTTTAAATTTGTTTAAAAGGAAAAAGCTGAAAATTTAAAT